AGGAGGAAGGAAGTGTGGTACTTTGAATGAGAATGTCCCCCATGGACTCCAATTATTTGAACACTTGGTCCCCCCAGTTGGTGGCGCTATTTGTGAAGGGTCATGGAACATTTAGGAGATGTGGCCATGCTGGAGGAAGCAGGACAGTGGGGGTGGGCAATGAGAGTATACTATTACTTACTTTTCTGTTGCAGTGATAAAATAGCATGACCCAGGCTACTTATAGAAGGAAGAGTTCATTTGGCTTACGGTTCCAGAGGAATAAGAGTCCATCATGGGGAGCTGGAGAGATGGCTCAGCAGTTAAGAGCACTGACTGCTCTTGAACCCAGGTTCAATTCCCAGCACCCGCACGGTAGCTATGAACCGTCCTTAAGTCCAGTTGCAGGGGAATCCGAAGCCCTCTTCTGACCTCCGAGGCATTGCACAACATGGGTGCACTCACATACATGCAAGCAATACACTCATACACATAAAATAAAAATAATAAAATATTTTTTTAAAGTGTCCATCATGGTGGGGAGGCATGGCAGCAAAGGTGGCTAGAGCAAAAAGCTGAGCGCTCACTCTTCAAGTAGGCACGGGAAGCAGAAAAAGCCAGACTGGATGTGGGCAAGCCCTCAAAGCCTGCCCCTACTGAACTGCTTCCTCCAGCATGGCCACACCTCTTAAAGGTTCCACAGCCCTCCCCAAACAGTACCACCTGGAGACCGAGTATCCAAGTACTTGGAGCTTATGGGGGACATTCTCATTCAAACCACCACAGTGGCTTTGTCCACTTTCCAGGGTGTCTCTCTGCTTTCTGTGCCTGCTTGAAGATGTGAGGGTTCAGCATTCCGCTCTGGCCACCTCTCCCACCGTGCCTCCCCCGCCATGATGGACTCCTATCCCTCTGGAATCGTAAGCCAAATAAACTCTTCCTTCTATAAGTGGCCTTGGTCATAGTGTTTCATCGCAGCAACAAAAAAGTAACTAATTATAGAAGGAAGGAGAGAGAGAGGGAAGGAGGGAGAGAAGAAAAGAAAAATACGGAAAATAGGAAAGGAAAGGAAAGGAAGGAGGGAAGGAAAAAAATCCTCAAAGGCCACTGGGGGTTAAATCACATTAACAGATGTGTTCATTTACCCAAGACTTCCAAAATTAGGTTCACTGGACAACAACCCCACAAAAAAAGGCTTTTCCTTCACCCACTCGAAACCTAGTACTTCTCAGCCAAAGTTGCGAAGCCAACCAGGGGCAGTGCCACCTCATCCCAGCACCACAGCCCTCTGGGCCCGCCTAGTTCAATGGAAGCCAGGCAGCCCCTTACTTGGGATATTTTCTCCTAGAGTTTGTCTCAGCACACAAGGAGGAAGCAAAAATTATGACCCAAGGAAAACAGAGGGTTTCTGGGATGCTATTCAAGCTTTGGGATGAAGCACTAACAACTCAGACCACAAGCGGACACCTGATGTTTACAGTCTTATTATGTTCCAGTAAATGAATCTACTGTGAGAGACACAGTGTCCCTATTCTCTAAGACTTAAAAAATTCCTTTTTATCATTTGTATTCTGGTCAATCCATGAATAGTTTAACTACTGACTGATGAGACAGAGGAAATGCTCAGTTCACAAGTATGCTGTGTGTGCTCCAGTACTTTGAAAGCTGACTGTTCAGGGATCTCAGAATGCATTTTCCTCCTGTATTACCCAGGCTAGCCATGAACTCTTGGGCTCAAGTCATCATCCTGTCTCAGTCTTCCAAGTAGCTGAGAATAAAGGCATGCAGCACCATGCCCAGCTAAAAAATATCATGAGTGGTAGGCTTCCAGAGCGGACCCAAAAAGCCTTCTTAACTCCTATTGTTTCTGAAGAAGTCCTGTGTTTCTGCAGGGAAAATTAGTAGAGAACAACTTTGAAGAAGTACTAGTAAACCCAAATACTGAATACATACTCTCCTTCAACCCTGAATTCTTCAATGAAGCAACTTATTTAATGAAAGAAGGTAATAGGAAGAAGGATGAGGACCTTTTTTAGGGACTTTTGCAGCCCTTACAGGGTCACTTTGTCCAGTTTCACCTCTAACTTTTTCTCATTTTCCTTCCAATAGGCGATTCTCAGAATCTGTGATAAGGACAGATTGAAGGTTCAGAGAGGAAGACAACAAAGGATGGGGAAAGAGGGAAAATAAAAATGCTTGAAAGAGATTTTCTTCATGGGGCAGTTAAAGCTTGTTATGGTAAGAACTTGTGGAATCAGTATGAGTTGATTTGCTAAGGAAATTGAGAAGGTGGGACCCCCAATACTAGTGCCCCAGGCCCTTGACCTGGTAGAAGAAATGAGTCCACTGTTCAGTCAGACAGTACCCCTTCTGGCCATAAGGTGGTGCCATAAGCCCAGACCGTCTTCCCCAATAGGCTGGGACATGCTGTGGGTGGAGCTCCCTAGTTTAAGCCATGTTGCCCAGTCAGGCTCTGGAACTGGAAGAAAGCCTGAACTACACTTGCGTCACTACACTGGCAGGCTCAAATGGATCCCATCCTCTAGAGCCCCACCTGCTCTCACAAAGCAAGCATACTTTCTGTCCTGCTGGACGTCACAACCCACATCATGAATCCAACTCATTCCTTTCCCATTTGATTCATCTTGTTCCAAAATGTCAGCAGTCACCACAGAGCTTTCTGAGTCCTAAAAAGAATCCAGTCAAAGAGCATCCTATGGTTGGATCCTTAGATAGCTGTCAGGATGCGATCTTCCACAATGAGTACAGATTTGGCACCACAGCCCCAGGCTTACCACATGCTCAGCCATCACACCAGCTTGGTTTCCCTATTCCGCACCAAACTAGATAACCTCATTCCTGACACAGGGCCCACAGCATCCTGTCTCCTCCATGCTTTGCTTCTACAGGGATAGCCTCTCCCTTGCCTCCACTTGCAAATGTCCTCCTCCACCTTTCAACCCAAACACCTCCCCCAAACCTTCCCTCTTGGGCATGACTGAAGGTAACTGTCTTATGCCTCAATCCTGAATGTCACAGGCAGACCAGGTCTGTCTCTGTAATTTCATGTCTTAAGCTAAAAAGGAGGGCCAATCACAGGCACCACTGAATCCCAGGGCAGCACTGGCTGATCTGTCCTTACTCCTCTATGGAGAGACACCAAAGTTTTGAGCTTGATGTATGGAGCAGTGTCTGTGCTCAATTCATGTTAGCCTTGTACAGTATACAAGTATATATACAGTAATCTGCTATTCCTAACCCTTTCCATTCATTGGCCAGCCTGCCAAACATAGCCTGAGTAACAGAGCTAAAGGAATTCTCAGGAGAGAAGGGGGCACAACAAAAGCATCAGTCCATGTCACAGTCTATGCCCAGCTCAACTTCTGTCCTGGGCCTGCAGCCTGGAGGATGGTCCCAACGAATCTCCCAGAGATTCTGCAGAATTCTCAGATCCATGGGGGATACACTAGAAGAGCACCCTTGTCTGGATGCTCTGGCCTTGGCTAAGTGGTCCAAACGTAAACCTTTAAGCAGTACCTATGTATGCTTATAACACCTGGAATCTACTATATGGGTTCTTTTCCTTAGAAAGGAGCAGTTGGCTCAGACAGGAATCACAAAGAGTCCCTTGAAAGTAGGAGGAAAAGCCTCAAGATGACTTTTTAAATTATGTAGATCCTCTGAAGGCAGGTCTGGGACCTCACAGATGATGGGGAGGCAGGGACCACCATCTACCTACTGAGTTGCTGCATCTACAACTGGTGGAGGTGGGTTTGCCTCTGCCACCTTGACGTTCCCATTTCTGTGTCTCAAGAAAAACAGGTGCCAATATTGTTCATGGAAGAGACCACGGGGAAAGAACATCTACCTAGCTATAAAGTTAAGACTCAGGACAAATGACCATTTGACACCCAGGAAATCTGCAGCCTTAAAATGTTAGGACAGACCAGAATGCTGCTGCTGTTCCTTTGTTTTGTTTTTCAGGATCTACAGGAAGTGGTTTTTCATAAACTTCTTTTCATAGAAGCTAAGCTGACTGATCAAAGTAATCAGTGAGGATGGTCCATCTTTATGTCCTAGCATCCACCACCTTCCACAAAGGATGAATGAGGCTGCAGGAAATTACTGCTACTGGAATCACGGGCAGGAGTGGCCAGTTCCCATCACTGCAGACTTGGACATTCAAAGTGACCATCTCCTGGGGCTCAAGAGCTGGGCAGGGACTTATGAACAGCAGCTCCTGGCTTTCCAGCCTCTGGAAAATCCATTCCGAAGGCACTTTCCCAGCCCCTCCTTCCTCCAGTCTGACTCAGGTCTGCTGGATGCGTGGGAAAACAGCACGCTTCGGTCACCTTGACCACCCCAGCCTCCCGATTCCCCTCACTGGAGGGCAGCTGCAAAGGGAAGCTTCTCAGTAGTGGAAAGACCTGCACGCCCATCTCTGTGCCCCCCTCCCCGAGGCATGTCACCTGGAGGCTCCAATAAGGCTGACAGTGCGCTCCAGTGCGGAGACCCAGGGCTTTGTCGCCGCCCGCGGTGGGTGATGAAACCTTCCAGGCGCATTACTGCAGAGTGAGCAGGCGGGGAGTGGGGCGGGGTAGGGATTGAGAGCTGGTACCGGGGCTCACCTGTTCTCCAAGATATGGGTGGGGACTGCAGGGGAGGAGCAAGGAGTGCCAACACCTGGAGCGGGCCCCGCGGCGCTAAGTGGCAGCGCTCTCCTGCCCACACTCCTTCAGCCCCACTAGCCCCCAGAACTGGGCCGTCGGTGGACTAGGCCAGGAGCAGTTCCTGTCCCGAGCCCGGCGCGAGGGAGACGTGAGCATGCACACGTACACACACAGCAGGGGCAAGAGACGCTCCAAGTGGCGCCCAACTTTCTCCTCGCTTGCTCCAGCGGGGGAGATGGCAGCTGAGCGCGATCCAATCCCCGCAGTGCATACGGAGGGGAGTTCCTCCAGAGGGAGCAGAGATGGAGAGAATTTCCCCGGATTTGATTTTTCTGATTTTATTTTTACCACATCTATCAGGGGACTGTGGAGTGAAGAAAACTCGCAGTTGGGCAGAGTAGCACTTTGGGAAAATGGAAGAGTGTGTTTGGAGACGCCTAAAGTTGTCTGTCAAGCTCTGGCCTCTGGGGCACGCGATGCTCCACGGCCGCCCGACTCGAAGCTGCCGGGGCCTCCCTGCCACCCGCCAGGAAATGATGCAAGTCTGGATTGTCACCTGGATCCCCGACTAGAATCCGGCTGGACTGGGGGAGGGGCGAGAAAGGACACTCCAGGTGTTGCTCCGCCACCAAATTCAAGCAAAAGGAAAGCGGGAAGATGGGGCAGTTGCACAGACCAAATACTTTAGTGCGTCTGTCTCTCTGTCTCTCTTCAGGCATGGTTTTTGGTTTGGGGGGTATTTTTTTCTTTTCTTTTCTTTTAATGCCAAGCGTCACGACGCTAGGAATTCCCATTTGAGCTCAATTTGCTCGCACCATCTCAGTGCCCATGTATCTGTTGCCATCTATCAAGGCCTAAGGGCTGAAAGTGTCACTGAACTGCAAAGAGGAAACTTTCCCAGCAGGATGCGAACCAGGGAACTGGGGACGCTGTCCCAGCGCAGAGCGGCCCCTCTTGCCCTTTCCTTAGTTGCAATCAGAACTGGAATCCGCTTTGGGTTTTTGTTTTACGTTGTTTTTTTTTTTTTAAAGCCCATTCGGCCATTGCCCTGGAGCACCCGCACACGCGCACGCATCTCTGGCCGCGCTCACTCACACGCACGCAAACGCGTGGCCGCCGCCAGGTCGACAACTTTGTGGGGCGCTCCCAGCGGCGCCCGGCTTCCTCCCGTAGTAGTTGGCCCAGGCCCCGCCTCCCGGTTGTTTTGTCAAACGGGCCGGGGTCTCGGATTGGTCCAGCCTCCGGGACAACACCTGCTCGACTCCTTCATTCAAGTGACACCAGAGCTTCCAGGGATATTTGAGGCACCATCCCTGCCATCGCCGGGCACTCGCGGCGCTGCTAACGGCCTGGTCACATGCTCTCCAGAGAGCTACGGGAGGGCGCTGGGTAACCTCTACCCGAGCGGCGGCCGCGAGGAGGAGGGAAAAGGCAAGCGAGGAGGAAGAGTGGGAGGAGGCGGGGAAGCTGCGGAGGAGGAAGAGGAGGAGGAGGGGAGCACAAAGAATCCAGGTCTCCCGGCGGGAGGTGGATACCCAGAACCATGTGTGCTGAGCGGCTGGGCCAGTTCGTGACCCTGGCTTTGGTGTTGGCCACCTTGGACCCGGCGCGAGCGACCGACGCCACGAACCCTCCGGAAGGTCCCCAAGACAGGGGCTCCCAGCAGAAAGGCCGCCTGTCCCTGCAGAACACAGGTAAATGCGTGCGCCCTGCAGCCCGGAGCTGCGGGGAGGGAATGCCGTGCACACCCGCCGCGCGCCCTGCGCGGCTCACCCCGAACCCGGCGGCCACCCCCCGGCCGTGCAAACTCTTGGGTGGCTCGGGACGTGCAGAGGGAAGTGCGAGGCGAGGCGAGGTCTGCGCAGGGCTCCTAGCGCCCGGAATCTGCACGTGCTAGCAGGGTGATGAAATGGCTGGGGCAGGACTTGTTGCTGTCCTCCCCCGGGGTTGAGGGGAAATGAGGCAGCGCTCGACGCTGCCAGCTCCTGCCAGAGTCCCGGGCCCCATGCAAGGCGCACTGCTCCATCCTGGCTGGCCGGTGGCAGGCACGGAGGGTCCCCGGAACTGGGTTCGCCCTGCCCGGGAGAACTTCTCGTCCAAGACCGCCAGCCTCAGCACGACTGTTTCTCCCCTTCCTCAAAGGATGCCCCACATCTCAGAACTTTGCTGGCCAGATAAATTGCATTGAGAACTTTCCCTCTGGGGGCACTGCTTTCGGAGGAGAGACGGGGAGTTTTGCAAGGCGTACCTCCGTGGTGCTGCCGCGGTCCCTTGCTCCAGGCCAGGTCAGCCAGGGAAGGAATGTAGACACGACCCGAAACGTGCGCGGGGCCCAGCTCACCCGCGCCCTCCTCGCCCGCAAGCTGCAGAGCCGAGCCTGGCGTGCGGCACTCGGGGCTGGCCCTCTTCCCAGCTCCGGGGAGAGAAAGAAAACCTGCCTACAGCTCAGCTCCTTGCAGGGCGCCTCCACCCCCGCTATTTCGTGGGGGCCGTGTGAACGCGGCGGCCGTGGCGTGCGTGCGCTCCTTCCCTGAGCCTGAATGCACGAATGCGGGTCAGGGACTCCTGAATGAGTGATCGCGGTTCTGCGTGCGCTCCAGGGCCGCGCGTGGAGTGAGCCGAGCCTCTGGCCTCCACTCCGGGCGCGCAATCCGGGTCGTCCTACGCCCCAGGACCCTCTCCAGGTTTAGGTAACCTTCAACCCCTCTCGGGTTTAGGTAACCTTCAACAAATACACGCCCCTCATTTTCTCGCTAGATTAAATCTGAATACAGATTTTTCTACTCCAGCCCCGCCCTTCTTCCAAAATACACTTTTCTGATGTAATTTTGAGGTCGATTTAAATCAGAGAATTGGGTGAGCGGGAGGAAGGCAAGAGGCTGCACTGGGCAGCCTGACAGCTCCCCCTCAGTCTGTCCTTTCGGGGAGGCGAATTAGGACTAGGTTTTGGAAGAGGCAGCAGGCTGCAGGCCTCAGGGATTCTAGGGGATTAAGTGATATCTCACACCGGATCCCTAATTAAAAAGAACCTCTAACCGTGAATGGTGGCTGATGGCAAAGCCAGCCCCCAGCTCACTTGACTCTGAGCCTGTTCCGCCAGGCACAGCCTCACAGGCCTGGTATTTTTAATGCGGATGGTTTGGAGGCGCTGTTTAAAAGGAATTTTGTTTTGATTTTTTTTTAGGTGTTGAATTATAAAGCTGAATTGAAGCTGCATTTTGGATGCTTTCATTTGGGGGTCAGGAAGGAAACGGCTGGAATTTAGTGGTAGCGGCCTCTGCGGCTCCTAGTAGAGAAGGCTATTTTATTTCATTCATGATGTACCATCTTCATTTTAAAATCCTATTTTCGTCTGCGGGGGTTTTAAAAGCTGAAATATTTTCTGTTTTTAAACTAAACATTCCCAAAAATACCTTAATAAAGTGGAAAAGATAAAGAGACTGCTCAAACTAACTTCTGATTCTAATATTTCTAATTTTGAGCTAATTTTTACAAATATTTGCAAATATCAATACTTTTCATAAGTAGTAGTAAGTGATGACATTTTCTTTCCCTGGCCCCTTAGGTTCCAAAATGGGCATTACTAATTTTTTTCTCCTTTAATTTTTCTCTAGTCCTTACTAGCTTTTAGCATGGCCAAAAGCTTTGTATGTTTTTGTACATCATTTTCGTTTTAGCGGAGATCCAGCACTGTTTGGTGAACGCCGGCGATGTGGGGTGTGGCGTTTTTGAATGTTTTGAGAACAACTCTTGTGAGATTCGGGGCTTACATGGGATTTGCATGACTTTCCTGCACAACGCTGGAAAATTTGATGCCCAGGTAAAAACAACATGAGATGTTTTGGGTTGACATAACACAATTGAAACACTGGCTGGAAAGACTCTTAACAGATTTCCTGAGCTGTTATTTGTGGGGTTTAAAGTGTACAGCAGAGTTACCTGCATGTCCCTATCCCACCAGTGCTCTGCTCTCTGGAGATGCCACTAGACTAAACCTTTCCCCACTCTTAAATGCTGAGGCTGTACAGGCAAAGTATACTTGACCCCCAAAGTTGAAGTTGAAGTCAGTGATAAACACTGTGAACACCCAGAAACCAATCTCCAAAATCCATTGCATTAGGAAGAGTAGGCTGAGGTAACAGCAAAAGTTCACCTAATAGGGAATCATCATCGTGTGTGTGTGTGTGTGTGTGTGTGTGTGTGTGTGTGTGTGTGCGCGCGCGCGCGCGCCTAGGCAGGCAGCCTAGATAATTCACCACCTTCAAATGGCTATCTTCCCTCTCCTCAATAGCAGACTCTCTTCTTCCAATCTGAAAAGTCACAACCCTGACTAAGTCTTGCATTATATACTTTTCTTACAGTCAGAGCCTAATCCACATCAGATATCCCAGAGCCCAAGTTAAAACTGGGCTGCTGCTCAGGGCCAGGCAGAACACCAAAAGCAAGCTGATGATTCCAGCACAGGGGACCCAAATAGGAGCTTAGATGGCATGTGGCATTAGGCTGGCCTTCATTTTCTCCCTGGGCTCTCTGCCCTGTTGAAACACCCTGTTGTTATATCTCATAAACTTCCTCTCCTGTTTCATTGGAGCCTGATGACAAAGTTTGGAGGAGGCCAACAGTTTAGGTGTGATTTATACACGTCACCAGTTACCATCCGCTGACATCCTGTGGACAGCCTGACAAAGCAAGGCCTAGAAAGAAAGGGATGTGACGGGCCTGGCAACCTAAACTGCAGAGGATGTGAGGTAGCAGAGAGGAAAGAGGGATAACTTTGAACTTCTTGTAGCTCCTTAAAAAAGCACCCCTCAGAATTGACTGGAGTTAGGAAACGCAATAGGAAATCCTGAGGAGAAAAGCGTACCGAGGGCCTTCCCACAGGATGTCAGGAAGAATACCAAGAACAGAGTGCCACGGCCCTCACAGAAATTAATCTTCCTTGTTTTCTTAACCAACAGGAATATGTTCTCAAATTAGAGACATCTCTTTCAAGTTGATTCTCGGCACATAACTACTTCATCAATTGGCACACCCTGCCCTCCATCCCATTTGGCTCCAGCTGGAGAATCAAAGAAAACAGGGCCACAGGGAGAGTGCATGTGTCACATGGTTTTTCAGCCATGAGACACTATCTGTAGACATTTCAATTTCTCCTAAAGGGAAAAACCAAAATAAATGTGCTGGCTGGTTTCCCACTCCCAACCTAAACCAGTTCACTTTCTCAACTCAGTGATTTGCAGGCCTGTCTCTAAAAAACAGAGGGGTGACCTCTCCAGACAGTTTGTTTCTATAGTTATGGAGGGAGATTCCTGGCTAGATAGCCAACAATGTCTCCAGGCCAGGGAGGTTGATAAGAAAGCAAACACAGGGGCTTGCCTCCTCATCCCTGACAGCTGTCTCCTTTCTGGGCTTAGCACAATCTGATGGGGTTGCCAGGAAGAAGAGCTATAGGCCACATGTATGCCTGGCTGCCTTGGCTCTTGTGAGGGAGGGGGGAGTCCCACTACATGCTGCCAGGCTAAATGCCAGGCAGGCCTTTGAGAGACAATAATCCTAACAGTTTAAAGGCAAAGAATGCTCCTCTTTGAGGCATGGAAGGAAGCCACAATGGGTGCTGAGCACTGAGGCAGAAAGGGGAGGCACAGAGAGCGTTCCCTCCTAGGGATCCAGGACAAAGGAAAGTGTGCTCTTACACTAACAGGCGCTTTCTACTGGGGAAGAGCTCTTGCTGATACTGGCAAAGGAGTTATGGTCCAATACCCTGGTATGCCAGAGAATCTGCCACCAGGCAGTCGCCACCCCGCTGCCTTGAGGACAGACAACTGAGGAAGCCCCAGGTCCAAGGAAACGAAAAGTGCAGCTGGGGAGGAAGGAGGCAGATCTGTTAGTGTACAGAGCTCATATCCTTTCTGGCCTGGTGCCCGAGGTGTCCTGTCACTCTGAATGTACCTCCCATGTAACCTCTCACCTGGAATGACATCAATCTGAGGCAGATCTTGGGACTCTGAGATCAAAAATTCCTGTGTAAGGCTGAGAATGAATGGTACATGTTGTCCTAGCTGGTGACAAAAATCTCTTCTCCTCTGTCCTCCATTCTCAGGGCAAATCATTCATCAAGGATGCCTTGAGGTGCAAGGCCCATGCCCTGAGGCACAGATTTGGCTGCATAAGCAGGAAGTGCCCAGCTATTAAGGAAATGGTGTTCCAGCTGCAGCGGGAGTGTTACCTCAAGCATGATTTGTGCTCAGCTGCCCAGGAGAACATCGGAGTGATAGTGGAGATGATTCATTTCAAGGACCTACTGCTGCATGAGTGAGTACCGCCCCACAAAAGAGGGAGAGCAAGGAGGAGGTCATGGGACCTGGAAGTGGGTCTGAGGAGATCACTTTTAGAAGGTATACTCCCTTCAAGTGAACACAGTTGTGGTGTACCTCAGAAAGCTACACTGACTCCCCTACAGGGCCTTCCCTGCTGGCTTTCAGGAAAACACAGCAAGGTCGCCACCATCAGTTTGCAATCCTCACAACAGAATGGCACGTTATTTTTACTAAGCACAAGACATGTTCAGTCAGAAATGTTCTCCATCTTCCCCGTAGCTAAGTCCCAACTAGTCTCTGACTGTTCCAAGTGGCTCCCAGGGGTCGATACTGACAACTGAAAGATAATATTTGCTGAATATTAAGTGGCTTTTAGATTAAGCCCTCTAGATCTTCAATTCACAGATAAGGATAATACGGAGCCCCATTAGAGACACAGCTAGGGAGAAGCAAAGCTAGGGTTGGGTTCCAGGCCATATGACTAACAGCACCTCTGCTCTAAATGCCCCAAACTGAGAGCAATCACTTTTTTTCACCTTTGCAGGCTCTCCTTCCTTTCTCTAACTCATTAATGTCCTACCATAGAAAATGCAAAACAAACATCAAAAGCATTTGTCAGCTAAACATTTATACTAAAATGTACTAGAAGAGTCATGATTCTGTGATAAACCCTGAACATCTTACTCCTTAAAACTTATTCTAGCTAGAGAGATGGCTGCTCTTACAGAGGACTTGGGTTCAGTTCCTAGTGCCTACATAGCAGCTAATAACCATCCATAACTACAGTTCCAGGAGATCTGACTCCCTCTTCCGGCATTGCACAACACAGGTGCACTTACATACATGCAGGCAAAACACTCATACACATAAAATAAAAATAATAAAATATTTTTAAACTTACTCCGGCTGTAGGACCCTGAATTGTTCAGACTACTAAAGCATACTGGTACATAATTGTTTCTAACATGAAGCGTGGTCCACAGCCCCCAAGACTGCAGTGTCCCCATCTCCAGAGATATAAAGGGCATAAAGGAAGCCACCAGCTCAGCAGTCCAGTGCCTATCACTGTCAGCTTTTCTGCGGTGACTCACTGGGCCGGATCAGTACAGTTTTGTGAACTCTTGCTCCTCAGTTCATTCCACAACCTTTTCCTACTTACATCACTAAACCATCTACTTGCTACCCTCACCTCACCAACGCCTGGTTATGAAAGCAGCTATCTCCTGGCATTGCCCACTTAGTTATAAGGCCCTTGGTATCTTGTAACACTCCTAGTACAATATTGTTATTCATGGTGACATTCTGAAGGCAGCTCTTGCCAAAAGCAAAATTATGCTGCTTTTTTTTCTTTGAGTCATACTAATGCCTTATGACATATTTTCATTCTTCCAAATATTTATAAAGGAACGACAGTATCAACAACAGTAATTGTCTTCTATTTTTCCTTAGTGAGCCAGGTCCTTGGCTATGAACTATACATGGATTATCACATTTGTCTTTCCTAACCACACTCCAAGGTTGAAATTACTGTCTCCATTTAATGGAAGGACAGGGAAGCGAAGAGCTTAAAGAACTTCCTCTGAGGTTTGATTCCTACTCTGCAGCTTGGGAATTGGAACAGATAGCCATCTCTCACTCTCCACAGAGGACGGTTCGGACCTCCCCTAACATACCAACATCTATGAATGCTCAAGTATCATACAAACTAACATCCCCCCATCTAGTCTAGATGGCTTATAGTGCCTAAGACAACACAAATGTTATGTAAGTAGCTGTTAGATTACAGTGCTTAGAAAAAAATGTCTAGGAAAAAGTCTGCTTCAATAGAGAGACAGGTTATTTCTGATTTGTGGTTGGTTAGTTGAATCCACAGATACAGAAAGGCAACTGTGTACAACGAAAGCTACATGTGAGGAACAGGCCAGTTGGCAGAACTTCCCTGCTCTTAGCCTGTCCTTTTCTGGCTTTGTGGGGCTTCAGGGATGACCGGGGATCTTTCCTTTTCTTAATCATACCCCCATCATGACCAGAGAGCATTGTGAGATTCCCTTCCTCCACAGTGCTCCTGGAAAAAGCACATGGTAATGCATGACTGAGGAACTCCAACAGGCTGTCCCACTGACATTCTTAAGATGACTTCTTGGCCTTGAGAGTGGGTGGTGAAGAGCCAGTTTATACATCTCTGACATGTTCCTGGAGTGCATTTAAGTCTTTGTATTTTCTGAGGTAAAGTCTTCCTTGGAAAAATAAGGTTTGGGGAACACACCCCACCCTAGAATTTAAGAAGCGGTAGAGCACTGTGGCTGTTTAGTGTCAGTCCATGGGAACATGGCCTTCCAGGTCAGGGACTCTTATTTCAATGGATCCCCCACACCATTTAGAATGAGCAATGGCCACCAACCTCAGCCTGCTATGGAAAAGCCAATGGCCCACGGTGAGCAGAAGTCCAACTGTCTTAAGAACACGGTTGGGAGAGCCCACACAGGCCCTTGAGTCTCCTGCTAAGCTGGCACTTCTGGGCAACGGGTTGTGCCAAATTCCAGCTCCCTGAAAACCCTCTTCCCTGTCCTGAAGCCACAGCCGTATGGTGCATTAGCTTGAACTTCAAGCTGAACTGCCTGAGCTTTTCAGTGTTTTCAATCATCTTAACTGATGAAAGGGTCCTATTGGTCCCCAACAATCAAGAAAGCCATCTCAGAATTTCTGACAACAGTCCCAAACAGAATGAGAGCCAAATTCACCTTTCCCTTTAAAGACGAGAAAGTCAACTCCTGAAGAATCAAAACCACCCCCCTTCCTCACCTGACTCTGCAAAATGCTTGTGCTAGGAACAGACCTTCCTCACCTGACTCTGCAAAATGCTTGTGCTAGGAACAGAGGAAACAACTCTGTTTCTGCTGCTGTACACTGCCCCCTTCCCACCCACCCCACCCTCTCTTCTTATCATCTGCCTCCCCCTAGCTGTAGCCAGCCTCCCTTAGCCTCCCCACATCCTGTCACCAGGTACTGGCAGCAACCAAGGGTTTGGAGCTTTAAGCACATCCCCCCTCCTTCAGCTTTGCTGACACTAAGTTGAGTGCTGGGCTTTGTCATGAGACAGGCTTAGCCTGCAGCCTGGGAAGGCACCATGCCAGTTCAAAACACAATTTAGATTAACTTACTTGGCCACACACACCCTCCCAACAGGACTCAGCTTCTTCCCTGAGAGAAAGAAGGCCCAGAGCAAGCAGTGGAAAGGAGGGCTATTCCTCTGGAGGTCAGTGCCTGCCTTAGGATTCTTGGGTTCATGGCCAGAGAGATCACCAGGTGGAAAAGGCCCCAGAGGCAACTATGTCTTCCCAGGAAAATCTTCCTTTTACTTTACAGAAATAAGCTTACAGGAGAGACTCCATTCAGAGTCCCACATGGACCCAGTGAGTGGCAGGTACAGTCTGGTGCTAAAATCCTGTTTCCTCTTCATAGATGGACACAGTGGACCTGAGCTTCCTGAGACAGTGCTAGTTTCCAAAAGATAGAAAGACATAAACAACCACTGAGCATTTTGCTTGTGCATTTCCTCCTCCTCGAGGTACCTAAGAAACAGCGTCTCACTGTCCCTACCACTAGCAGAGGCCTAGAGTAGAGAGATTAAGGACCTTGTCCATCAGCCATGCACAGACTCCGATGCCAAAGGCCTTAAGTAGGTTTTAAAAAGCAGCTCTGACTCCATCACCCAGAGCATTCTTCCTGGCTGCTCTAGGCCAGGCCAGGCCTTCCTTGCCTGGCAGTTCCCAAAGGCCTACCTTCTCCCTCTTCCTGGTTCTTGCACTCTTGAAGTAAGGACACTTCACTCAATTACAGCTTGAGGAGAGGTTAGCAAAAATGGCAGTAAACTACTTTATGTGTCTCAGACCATCTCTGTTCCTTCTGCATAGCAACAACTGCCAACTTGCAAAGAAAGAGCTCAAGAGCCCTAGCCTAGCCATCCAAGTGGCCAGGTTTCACGGAGGAGAGACCTTTGTTCCTTGTTAAAAGCCCTGCTCCAGGTGGCAGCCCAGAGCTGCAATGGTCACAGGCAGATATGCCCAGGACTTTTGCTGGCTAAGGACTGCTTAATTCCAGTTAGCTAGATAAAGTCACATGGAGCATTCCATATCTTTCTTGGGATCTTAAAAGGCCAGTAAGAGATAAGAAAGGCTCAGTGAGCACTGCCTTACCAGACGGACCCATAAAAATAGAAAGCAGGTGCACTTGTCCCTGCTGTCTGCACACTTACCTACCCCCTGAAGTGAGGTCTTCCAGCAGTTCTCAACAATGACCCAGGGTAGCCAGTGTAGATGGAGAACCTAGCTCTGACCCTAGAACGGACCATATTTGTTCCACAGAGAGCTGCTCTCATTCTGGACCTAGGGGCCCTGACTACCCTCACATTAACTCACCTGACTAGCCCTCACTAGAATGCAAGAGAAGTCCTGACTGACAGTCAGGATAGTGAACAGTGTTCCCACTCCCTGCTGGCATAAAACAGGGGAAAGCCCCAGGGAAATGACACCCCTCAGGGGGTGGGCCTCCCAAACCCCTCAGTCCATTCCATAGCGCCCAAGATACAGACAGAAGTATATTTTGTAACTTTACAAAATACCCTTCACTGTAAGTCTAAGGCAGAGGCACACAGACAGGGAGAGCCACCTCAGAGGAGCCTACCTGGTGCCACCTATGAGGGGCAGATGTGGGATTCTTAGAGGCTGTTGGAGAGCCCCTCCAGCCTAACCCTTCCTGACTTCTTTTTAATATATTTTTATTTATTATATTTATTTTATGTATGAGTGTGTTTCCTGCATGTGTGTAAGTGTGTCCTTGTCATACAATGCCTGCAGAGGTCAGAAAAGGGCATCGGTTCCCCTGGAACTGGAGTTATAGACGGTTGTTAGCCCCCATTCAGATGCTGAGAATCAAACCCAGGTCCTCTGTAAAAGCAGCCAGTGCTCTTAACTGCTGAGCCATCTCTCCAGCCCCACCCCCACTTCTTCTTTACTAAAAAGATTCCACCATTTGCCCCAAGATCTATCTCTACTGCAGCCAAAATTCACCCAGCATCTATGCCCTGGACATGCCCAAAGCGCATCTACCTCCTCTGTATTCACACAGCTGTCAAGCCTAGGACACTCACTTTACTGTCCCAACCCCCTGCTCTTATCCTGTGTACGCACACACTGTCACTGGCCCGTTCTCCTTGGCCTCTGTCTACAACTACTTGGAAGAGTGAAAACTCACCTTAATGTTCTCCAACGCCTGCCATAGAGCATGGTCTACAATAGCCTTCTAGGAAATAGCGTTGGAGGCTAGTGCTGTATACAATATGGGTAAAGGATAAATAGCATTGGAGGCTAGTGCTCTATACAGTTTGGGTAAACTTCCAAAAAGATCTTCCACCAAGCCCAAGGAAGCACTGACTGCCTCTTTCCTGGCCTTGTCATACTCCTCTGCAGGGCCCCTTTGGGACATGACCCATTCTCAATCTCTCTCCCTCTGCTCTCATCTCTAGACCCTATGTGGACCTCGTGAATCTGCTGCTGACCTGTGGGGAGGAAGTGAAGGAAGCTGTCACCCGCAGCGTGCTGGCTCAGTGTGAGCAGAACTGGGGTGGCCTGTGCTCCATCTTGAGTTTCTGCACCTCCAACATCCAGAGGCCTCCCACTGCACCCCCCGAGCACCAGCCCCTGGAGGATAGGGCCCAACCCTCCAGGCCTCACCACCGGGACTCGGACCACCGTCTCACAGAGGCAAGCAGCAGAGAGGTCAGCAGAGGTGCCAAGGATGAGCGAGGGAGCAAAAGTCACCCAAATGCCCATGCCTGGGGCAAAGCAGGTGGCCAGGGCGCTCAGGGACCTTCTGGAAGCAGCGAGTGGGAAGATGAACAATCTGAGTATTCCGATATCCGAAGGTGAAATGAAAGCCCGGCCATGAAATCTTTCCTCCAGGCCGTCCATTTTCTTATCTATGGACATTCCAAAACATTTACATTGAAAAGAGGGGGGATGTCACACGCAGGATTTTGTGGGAATTGTGGACTTGGTGCAGGTGTATGAAGAGATGAGATGGAGACTCCGGGGCAGTGGGGTCTCAGGTGTGGGTGCCTGGGTAGACTGGCACCTACGTATGCATATTCAAGGGAGTGTTACCTTGAGCCTTGTTACTTTGTCTCTTTCAGTCTGTAGAGCCAGCAGGTCAGCAGGTGGTGTCTACAGTGTGCTCTGTTGCAGGGGGGAGGTTAGTCTGGGAGGGGAGGGGCCACACATAGGTGCTAGGCCCCTCCCCACAGCTTCCAGCACTGTGCAGAAGGCAGGGCAGCTGGGTTCCAGGGCAGAAGTGAAAAATGTGACTGGCAAGGGAGAGAAGAACAGAGAGGAGACAGGGCCTCAGCCACGCTCAGTGCCAAACTGAAGTTCAGTGTCATGCGTGGGACCTTGCAATTCAGAGCTCCTGGAGGGGACACAGGGTAATGTGTTTTCTGTGTGTCATTTCTGAGCCGTCCTTCCATCTGGGGGATGCTGTCTGAAGGAGAGGCCCGTGTGTGTTTACTTCAACCACTGCTTCCACTCTCAGTTGCACTTTCTCTCTATTTATCTCTCTTATTTATCCAATTACATCTATATATCTGTCATCTAAATAAATGCCTTTCAAACCAAACAACTGGGTCACAAAAACCAGCTCAAACAGGGAAGAAAATCAATCCCAGCCCATCTTTGGAGGATAAATTTTTATAAGTACTATTTTAAAAGGACTCAAACAGCACAGTGCCCACACGGGCTCCTACCTCCTAACCCCAGGACAGACCTTATACCTAAAGGAAGAACACACAGAAGGAGTCCATTTGACAACTTCCCCCTAGAATGTTGCTATCTGACCTTGCCCTCAGCCAACATCCATGAACCTGTACCAGCGAATTTGTGTGGCAACATTGGAAACCCGCCTCTGTGAGCCAGAAAGAGGGAAAAAGAGGAGACCAGAGACCACTAAGGAAATTGCCTTTAAGAAATGCCACCCTCCTCATACATGGAGGGATCACTGGAAATCTCTAAGAAACAGGGCTTTCCACACCCAGACTAGAAATTTAGCAATGAAGAGAGAAATCAATGGACAAGAGAAAGGCTGAAAGAGAGGGATGCAGCAGAGGGACAGGGCTGTACCAGGAACTCCATAGAAGTAGGTTTTCTGCAGTTACTTAAAATTAGCATAGTTTATCCTCCTGCAGCCAGTACTCACACAGGAGCTGGTGCTGTAGGTGAGGGAGGTGTCCTGGGCTGGATCTCTCTAGAGCAAGGCTCAGCAAACTCTTTCTGTGAAGGGCCAGATAGTAACTGCGGATCTTTAGTTTGAGTTGTCCGGCTCTGCAGTTGCAACACGTAAGCATTCCAGCCATGTAAATGAAAGTGACTCTGTTCCACTAAGATTTTCTTTAACAGGCACCCAGCTGGATTTGGCTTACAGGCCATGTACAGCATGTTGTTCCCTGGACTAGGGAGCAAGCCAAAAAGCACACATTCTGCCTTATCCAACTACCCTCAAAGACCCCTGAGGCCAAAGACAGCCAAATTCTCTACACTTAAATGATCTGTTCTAGGGAACACCCTCACCCCAAACTCAGCTGGTATTTCTATGTCCAGGATTCAGTCTCAATCTTTCAGCACCCCCTGCTTGAAAATAAAAATTCATATGAGGGGAGGGGGGCAGGTCAATGATGTGCTAGAAAACCCCCAGAAAGATCTAGAGCTACAGAGACGTTTGGGAAGTTAATGCAGTTCTGCCCTGAAGGGAGAAGGCCAAGCATGTGAGGCCTGCCATGTGCCACGCACCTTGACCGTTTCTCCCTGTGTCCCTCAAAAGCTAAAGCAATAGTGTTCTCTGTTTCTGCCTCAGCTGCTCATTTTTCCCCAGTGCCTGGGACTGGGTCTGTCAGTGTCTTGTGTGTTCACCTACTGATGTTCTGTTTGTTGCTTCTCTTGTAAATATTTGTCATTTGTATTTATTATCTTAGTGTTTTCCCCTCAAAGACATAAAATTGCTTCCTGTGTTCTCTGTTATGACTTTCTCATGTTGCTGGGTTTGGGGGGTTTTTTCCCCCTTCTCTGAACTCAGAAACATCACTTTTATGGTTCTTGTGAGATTGGGGAGGTATACAGTGTGTATTTATTTCTTGGGTCCTTTTCCTCAAAACTTTCCAAATTCCTGTAAACAAGACAGAAGCACTTGCACAGTCTAAAACGTAAGCAGAGTAGTTGTTACAAACAGCCCTTCCTTGTCCTTCATACTTCGTACAGATTTACCCAGGAGCCTTCCTTTGAGGAAGGATGTGGATCCCCAAATAAAGATGCAGTGTTTATTTTGAGCTTCGCATCTTAACAAGATGATCTGAACACCTCTCCTTTGTATCAGTAAATAGCCCTGTTACTCTAAAATGAGAGGAGGGAGGGCAACAAAACGCTGACAACCCAAAACTAACCAACTAGAAAACACCAACTGCAGTCAGGCATACTTCACACACACACACACACACACACACACACACACACACACAAGTTTAAACTCTAAACCTAGTAAGTGGCGTCTCTAGAACAGTATGAAACAATGCTCTCAGTGGCCATTTCCTAAGGAAGAACAGCCCGGTTGATCTCAGAGTTGCACCACGTGGGCTTGCTAAGTCTGTTTCTGTGACAGAATTAGGCAACAGGGCCTGTCTGTTGTCACACTGCATTGTTTTCCTTCAAGCATTAATAAAGTTTTTAAATACATGGCTTGAACTTGAGCAGTGTCGTTTCTGAGGGGCTTTGATGTCAGGTGTGAAGGGAGATATTTGTGAACTAGCCGACTTTTGGCACTGCCTCAAATGAAATCTTGGGAAAGAACGCCAGATGAAGAAACCCTGACCCCAGGACTTCTCCATCCCAGGGACCCCATCCAAGGCCCCTCTTGAGCCACCAAGACAAAGAGGAAAAGGAATTCTATGCCACTGGCCTGGAAAGGCTACTCTCATGCCCCGGTACGTTCTCGCAGCTCACTCTGCCGTCACCTTCCAATACTAGCCCTTCTTTCAGAGTAGGTCTACAGCAGATGTCACCAGCATAATCATCCAATGGTGTGGTGCATGCTGGGGCACTCACCACCTCCTTACAACTCTTGGTTGCCACCGCAAAGCAGAATTGGAATCATCACTCACTACAGCTTGCACAGCCATGGTGCACCTACTATGTGCCAGGCATCCTGGTGGATGTCGAGCACCCATCATTCTGGTGGGTATCATGCACTCATCATCCCATCCTAAGTCCCACAGTAGGAATCACTCTCCCCATTTTGCAGACAAAGAAGCCAGGTGGGCCAGCAAGGTGTCTCAGCAGGTAAGAGTTCTTGTTACCAAGCCTGATGACCTAAGTTCAATTCCAAGGACCCACATGGTAGAAGAAAAGAACTTCCACATGTTGTCCTCTGACCTTCACATGCTTGTCTCCATGTGCCTATGTGTATGCTCATATACACACATACATACACGAAATGTAATTTAACAAACTTTAAATAATAAAAAAAAAAAAAAGCTCAGATACAAATTTCTCCCTAACCATGTGGCTAGAGGGCGGGGGCCTGAACTCAGGCTGAGAAATCTCCAATTTCAATTTATTTTGAATTTAAACCAATCAGTATTATTCCTATTTCACACAAGACCTAGGGAAAGAATAATTACACTCTTATATTTATAGCACCAGGCCTCTGAGGTGTTCCATGGCAGAATGGAAAGGAAAATTGATGCGCTCACTTTTCCTTTCTGCAGAAACTGAACTTTTTGTTGACCTATGGGAGAGCAGGAGACTGTACGGCCACCATCACTTGTCTCTACATGGGGATGATTTTTTTAACAGTTCCCCGCCGCCCCCCAGGGCCATTGAGGGAAGAACTTAGGGAGCAGCTGGCTGCTGTGAACATACACTGAGCACTTCCTCCATCAAATGCACCCAGTGGCCAGCCCTGTCTGAGAAGCCAGGCTCCCCTAAACCACAGTCATCCTCACCATGACAGCTGACTAGTTATGTGCTCCTGTTTTGTCTGGTGCTTAACATATATTATTTCCAAACCTTAGCTTACATATAAAGAAACAAATTCAAATACATCTTACTATACCTAGCACCAGTCACAAGTCTAGTAGGCTCTCAAAGTAGGCTCCACCTGACCCCTGTCTCTCACCAAAGGTATGAACACATGGGTTAAACCCATACAAATGAATTCAGAAAGACAGCTGCCTCCCCAAACCCTCACAACCACTCCGACCCAGTGGTTGGATTATTAGGCTGTGGAAGAAAGAAAGCAAAAAGACCTCAAATATGCTGGGTTTAAACAAAGTTTCCCAAGGGACTTGGAGACACACCCCAAAATCTGGAGAGAGAAATATGAATTTGTGCTGAAATCAACAAAAAAGAAAGTCCCCCACTGAGAAGGGGACAGGCTTTGGCCAGAGAGCAGCTTTCCTGTGAATTATTTTTTGTGGGCAAAGAGGAGAAAGAAGCTTTGGACTGGAGTCCCGCATGGCTGCTTGCGTAAGCTTTTCAGTTTTATCACTCCCCAGAAAGAAAAAAATCACTCCCCAAAGAGAAAAAAGTCACAAAGCCAACTTGAGTTTATGCACGAAATGGATGCCACCACAATGTACTCTGTCACTCAACAGGACCCAAACTTCCTGCAGCCACATTTAACATCAGGTTGTCTGCTTTTATAACTTGGGAGAAACCGAAGCTCCCCCATGGAGCTGTCAGAGGCCAGGCAGTTGCATACAAGGTGCTGAGCAGGATTGTCAGTTGGTCCCATTTCTAAAATACTGTTTTCAGGATTTTTAAGGATTCCTAAGGAGCAGGAGGGGTACGTAAAAAGAAGTGATATGTTGTGATATGTTAGAGAGCACAGGGACTGTCTGCTAGCTCTCCTGGTTGGCACTAACTGCATGAAGGGCTAAGGGTCTAAAGAAGGGTGTGTTCAGGCAGAAGAATCTATCCCTAGGATTCTGCCCCAGCTATTTATTGCTGTGTAACAAAACACCCCCCCAATGATTAATAGTACATATCAACCCACTAGTTTATGTGGCTTATCATTTTGTGGATCAGAAACTTAGAAAGGGCTCGTTTGGATGGTAAGACTCTTGCCATGGCATTGGCCGAAGGACTAGAGGATCCACTCCCAAGATCTCAATGACCCCTACACCATGGTGCCTCAGTGCTCCCATCCCATCCCATCCTATCCCATCCCATCTCAACATGGCTTCCTCTAGGTAGTTTCTCTTCTTACACAGTGACTGGCTACCTTCAAGACAGGCTAGCGGGTACTACAGCATATTCTTCAAATCCAAGCCTTGATTTGAGTTCATCCTTGGTACTGTAATAACCATGGGGCCTAAAAGTCATCAAGACAGAGACTATACCTCTTTTTGCAGTTGCCTGAAACCTGGAATGAGGGAATGAATGAATGACTGAATGAATGGATGGATGGATGGTATCACTTGTCTGAAACTGCCAAAATGTCAGATCAGAAAAGTTTCAATTCCTAACATGATGCGATGGTGCTTTCTGGTGATCTAATGGTGCGGAAATCAAATTTTTTCAATGTGACAGAAGGGCTGGAGAGATGGCTCAGTGTGAAAAGATGCCTGTTCCCAAGCCTGACGACCTTAGTTCAATCCCTGGGACCCACATCGTAGAAGAAGAGAACTGACTCTTGGAAGTTGTCCTCTGACCTCCATATACGCACTATGGTGCACATGTATACACACAAAATTAATAAACAGAAATGTAAAAGGATTTCTGGCAAGCTTCACTTTGGAGTCAGGAGACGTGGACAAGAGTCCTAATTCAGCCATCCATTCATCTCGCACCAGGTCAGTCTCTGAGCAAAGATCAAAATAAAAGTAAAGACTGAACAAACAAACAAGGACCAGCTATGAGGCTGCGGCAGACCGGCTGCACTTTCTAAGCTGTTTCCTCAGCTAAAAAATAAGAACACTGCCATCCACCAGCGTCCCTAGAGAGGCAACTGCGAAGTTCAAATGACTATAGTTATACAAGAAATCTCAACACCTAGGGAATGCTTTGAGCACAGTGAAATTCCACACAAATGATGATTATTATTTCTCCTGGCCATCTTGGAAGGCTGAGGCCTATAGACAAGAGCACCCACAAGATGAGCTGGCTATTCCCTTCTATTCTATCCTGCTGATTCTCAGAGGCAGGGTACAAAACAGTTGAGAGACAGGGACCAAGGACCAGTGGTGCACAGTGGGACTTCACCTCACCAGAAGTAGGCATGAGGGGTTGAGGACTTGCTAATAGGGGACACCCTGAGCGAGTCCCAGGCCCAAGCTAAGGCAGCAAGCAGACCCAGTGCACCTGCACCATGCTGGACACTCATGGGTCACTTGGGAAAGATTTAGTACAGGTTAACAAGGCAGCGTGAGACCTTGCTACAGCAGGGGTCTTCCTGCCAGGCTCTCCTTGGAATCTTCAAGAAAGGGTCCCCCCAGTACAGCCAGCTCACAAACTCCTCTATGGGACAGGAAAGCCCGGAGCAACAAAGACAGAAGGGAAGAGACTGGGGCCAGGACCCACTCTGTCCCCAGCCAAGGTTCCTAAGAGTCTGACATTTGGAAAAGATCTGGCCTGGAGGAGCCAAGGATTCAGGGTAGGGCTCCTTCCGGCTCCTGGGAGTGTCAAGAAGAGGAGGAGGAGGAAGAAAGTGACTCAGCTGAAATGAGGAGAAATGTATTTTTTAAAAGCGAACCAATGAAAGGCACAATGGCACAAAACCGTAGCCCAGGACATGGTCCAAACGCTTCCTCACAGAAAATGAGTACATTTCCAAAAGGCCAGAGAATTCATTCAGGTTTCTAAACCAAGAATAACACCAGGAAATTAAGACAGTCTCCTGGACTGGCCAGGCCCTGGCTCCCAGAGGCTGCCTCGGCCCCATCCCCCAAGGGCTGGTGCCTACTGCAGATGGAGAACTGCTGTCTGCCAGGATGGAGAATCGCTGACTGCCACCCAGTACACAGGCCCCAACACCCAATCTGAAACCTGGTGAACTTCCGACAAGTGCTAGGACAAAGTAGAAAGTAGCCTGCACTCACCGAGCAGCAATGGGCCCACTAGAGTCAACCCAACTGTCAGGGGTGCTGAGAAGAAAGAGACAGCTCCATCCCCTTCCAACAGGCAAGATCGGATGACCTCAATTGCAAAAGTGTCATTTTGCAATATTGAGTGCAAAGCTGCAGAAGGAGTGGTATAAAGGAGAGGGGAAAGAGGAGAAAGCACAGCCTAACTGACTCAGCGTCACCCTTCTCCAAGCCATGGGGTAAGTGCTGGATTCGTGCCAGGGCTGTCTCCTCCCCAGGATCCCCATGGAAACACACATATCCAGCCATGCCCTCATGGCAAAGAACGCAATGCAGAGGAAGACACAGTGCAGGGGTCCGTTCATTAAACCCCCAACTACCCTGAAGAGACAAGTAAACCTTCCTACTAACTGTGATCCCTACGGGCCAACAGAAAATGGAAAACTGGCAGGGATCCTCCAGCCCCTAGACTCTAGGCCATCCCAGTGCCTTGGAAGAGGGACACCACCTCTAGGACTCCTTCACTCTTTTATTTTTAATGACCTTACACGGTAGCAGATTTCCTGTGGCATTCCATACCCGTGACCCCTTCGTAGCTGCTGGTACCCAGCAGGGGCTCCCTTTATGATGGCTATAGCTGTGAAGAA